CTGCTGAAATTCAGGCGAGGAGTTAGCCCGTCAGACGCCGTGGTTGGCGCACGATCGGGGCTGGATATAGGTAGGAATTAACGGATGATCCGGAGCGCTAGTGAAAGCGCTAGGAGTCCTTACCGTCTTGGTTGCCAGGAAGGAATAAGGCGATTTGTCTGTAAATCATCCCGCTTTATATATGTTTCGTATTGTGACCCCTCGCGGTAAGGGGGTGTTTTCGCACACTTGTTGTTGCGAAATTCTCTAGAATATTCTAATTCTTTTATCGCGATTTATTTAATTGCTGCGTGTCTTTTCGTCTTTTTGGTCGTTCTCGTGTTTAGCGGGGTTCGCAATATTACTAGGGGTGTTCTTGATTGGCGCGTGATGCACTCGGTTGCGGCGTAGCCAGCGTGCATTCTTTGCGCGTTTTTTCATGCCGCTTTTCTGCGTATCTTCAGTTCTTTCTTCTGAAGAGCTCGCGAGTCTCCCTTGTTTATTTAAGGCTCTTATTTCCTTATTCGTGCCCTTATTCAAATGGCAATAGTTTTTATTTGCTTCCTGAGGCCTTCGCGATCGATGCGCGTGTTTCGCGTTGCATCGTTATGCATTTTATGAGTAATTGCGCGTTTTTACTTGTTCTTGGTGGATCGGCGCTATTTCCTCGTGATTATTTGATTGTTAATTATGATGTTCGTTATTTCTTGTCTTTTGGCGGTGTTATCTACGTGCTCTCATGCATTTTTCTATTAGTTTTTCCTATTTTATCGGTCGCGCAGGCGCTGTGCGCGCGGCGTTCGAATGCGACGGTTTCGGTAGTTTATCCTATAGTTTTACGCGCTTATAGTTGGCACGTATTGTATTATTTGCTATGCTCCGTGCTCGCGTTCGCTTGGTAAACGGTCGGGGTGCTATAATGTAGCGCGCCGGACGTTACAGTACAAAAGCATCAATATTTAGTGAGTGCGCTCTCAGGAAGTGCGGCAAAGGCAATCGAAGCGATCGAGATCTCCGAACAGAATTACGAGGTCGCATGGAACCTCTTGAGAGACCGTTTCGACAACGACAAGACGTTACACAGACGTCATATTCAATGCCTCTTCGAGATGCCACGAGTGGACAAAGAATCAGCTACCGCAATTCACAATTTGATCGACCATACTCAGAAGCATCTGAGGATCCTGAAGGGTTCACAATTACCCACCGACGCGTGGGACGAGCTAATCTTGTTCATGATGGAAGACAAACTCGACAAGATGACAAGACGTCACTGGGAGGAATCCATCGAGGCCAAAGACAAGGCATCGGTCGACATGATGATGAGTTTTCTTCAACGAAGGTGTCAACTACTCGAGAGGATGACGACGACCAATGCTCATGTCAAGGAATCCAGCTCTTAGCTCAAGGCGAAATCGGTTACTACCAATGAAACCTCATCAAGGAAAAGCAGTCAAGGCAGCAAGCCAGTCACACTCGTAGCAACCGCCCATATCAGTGGGAAGTGCTACGTGTGCAATGGATCTCATCTCATCTACTCTTGTGAGAAATTTCTGAAGATGAGTGTGGACGAACGGATGGCTGAAGTCAAGCGTTTAAAACTCTGCACCAATTGTTTGAAAAACGATCACTTCGTCAAATCATGCCGAGCGAGCTCTTGCAGAGAGTGTTCAGGGCGACATAACACAATATTATGTCACAAGCAGGCCGGTGGACAACCTCTCACCTCAAGCAAGGACATCTCAACCAGTGAGGCCAGCCAGCCGAGTACCGTAGGGGAAGGTCCAGCAGTTCATCACGTTTCAAAATCGAAACCCGCTAAGTATACTTTGTTGTCGACGGCAACTTTGTTGTAAACACAACGCATGCGAACGGTTCAATCCAACAACTGCGAGTACTGTTAGATAGTGCAAGCGAGGCTAATTTCATCACAAGGTCAGCATGCAACAGATTGGGATCAATCTCATTCGAATTTAATGAATCAATTTCCGAGTTGAATGACATGTCATGTAAAATCAGTCAATTTAGTCATATTACAATTAATTCCCGCGTGTCAACTTGTCAGATAACTGCTCAATGTCTCGTTATACCGAAGATAACAAAGGATCTGCCTGGAGTGATGATCGATGTCAAATCACTTGCAATTCCCAGTACAATTAAGTTAGCCGATCCACAATTTTCCAATCCAGGCCAGATTGACATGTTGTTGGGCGGAGAATTCTTCCTACAATTACTTGATCAAGGAAAGATTGACCTGGGGACGAATTTGCCAAGCCTGCAGAATACTAAATTCGGGTGGATCATTTCAGGTCCAATTCCACTGAATGTAAATACAAGTCGAGTGATGAGTCTGCCGACTATCACTGCCCTGACTTGTCTTTATGATCAAGGAGAAAACGTGAACGATCAATTAACAAGGTTCTGGGAGATTGACGAGTGTAAGGACAGCAGTCACTCACATCTGTCCAACGAGGAACGACAGTGCGAGAATTTGTTTCAAGCAACCACGTCACGTGATCAGAACGGCAGATTCATCGTTCGACTTCCTTTTCGCGAGAACAAGGCTCTATTGGGAGAATCACGAACGATTGCCGAGAAACGTCTAATTCATCTCGAGCGTAAATTGAAGGTCAACGAGCGATTTCGCGAATCCTATGTCGCGTTCATGATCAAATACATTAAATTGGGACATATGTCTGCCGTGTTATCACATTGCGAACAAACTCATTTCAATATCTATCTGCCACATCACGGTGTGGTTCAAGAATCTCAGGGTGATTCAAAATTGCGAGTCGTTTTTGACGCGTCCGCAAAAACTAGTTCAAGCGTGTCATTAAATGAGACTCTGATGATAGGCGCGACGTTACAGATCTGTTTGACATTGTTTTAAGATTTCGACTAAGCTCAATTGTCTTAACTGCCGACATTCAAAAAATGTACCGACAGATCGAGATAGACGAGAAAGATCGAGACTTCCAAAGAATTCTATGGCGCTTCTCGTCTGACGATCCCATTCAAGAATATCAATTAAATACGGTTACGTACGGAGAGTCATGCGCTCCATTCTTAGCAATTCGATGCGTTAGACAATTAGCAATTGAGGAATCTAAGCATTACGAACAAGCTTCTCACGTTTTACTTCGAGACCTGTACGTTGATGACATTCTGACGGGAGTCAACAGTCTATCAGACGCAAAACTATTAATCGAGCAACTTCAAGATTTACTTAGCAAGGGACAATTTCGTTTGCACAAATGGAAGTTCAGTCGCGCAGAGCTGGCTTCTTTCGTCGAGAAATCAGGTGACTCAGTGGAGGTCCGCGTACCTGTAGCCGAAAATAAATCCGTGAAAACTCTGGGGCTTGAATGGGATCCGACAAGCGACACGTTTCAATTCAATACGCAAGCGAACGTTCAAGTCAAGACGAAAAGAGAATTGCTATCAGCAATTTCCAAATTGTTCGATCCACTCGGGATAATAAGTCCAATTGTGGTGCGTGCAAAAATGCTCATGCAGGAGACATGGCAAGCAGATCTTGGATGGGACGACGAACTCCCAGACAGGATTCGAAACGCATGGGACAATTATGTACAAGATTTAGGAGATTCGAACGCCATACGGGTTCCGAGGCACGCTATGGGTCCTCTACCTCATACCATGGTCAATTTACACGCGTTTTGCGATGCGTCAGAAAGGGCGTACGGCGCGTGCGTTTATATTCAAACCGTGAACGATGCGAACGAATTCCATTCAATGCTGCTATGTGCCAAATCGCGAGTGGCACCTGTCAAGAAAATTACGATTCCGAAATTAGAACTTTGCGGGGCAACATTATTAGTTAACATAGTAGACTCAGTACGAAATGCGCTACAGATCGAGTTCAATTCTGTCTGCGCATGGACTGACTCAACGATAGTTCTTGTATGGATACCGGGGGATGTAAGTCGACAAAAAACCTTCGTAGCCAATCGCGTCACTCGAATACTTTCGAGCTTGTCCTCTTCCCATTGGCATCATGTGCGAGGGGAGGAAAATCCCGCGGACCTCGTGTCGCGAGGAACAAGGCTCGGGGATTTAAAGGACAATTCACTCTGGTGGTCGGGCCCTTCATGGTTGTCTGATTTCGCCGAGTATACAACGGTTGACGATGCAAATACGGGTCTATCCAAACGGGAGTTGAATATGATCCAAGCTGAAACCTGAGCGGCAAGTCTTCGTCGCTGCCACGAGGGAATCAACGGTACTCGAGTCAATCGTCAATCGTTACTCTAAGTTGACTAGGATTGAACGAGTCATTGCCTTTTGTCTACGTTTCATTTCAAACGCCAAATTGAATCGTTCCAAGCGAGTCCTTTCAGAATTGTCTGTCCACGAAATCTTCCAGGCTAATCAGCTCATCGTCAAACACATTCAGCGAACTTACTTCGCTAGAGAAATTGCTGATTTGAGGTCTCAAGGTCAAGTTTATCAGAAGAGTCGACTGCTATGCCTACTGCCATTCCTAGATCAAACAGGATTACTCAGGGTGGGCGGCAGACTCGAAAATTAATCACTTGATTACAATGGGAAGCATCCCATTCTTCTTCCAGGAACGTTTCTCTTTTGATCGAGAGAGAACATCATCGTCTAACACACGCCGGTCCTCAGGCATTATTGTATTCAATTCGCCAGCAATACTGGCCACTTAGAGGACGGAATCTCACCCGTCAAGTAGTTCACGAGTGCGTGCGATGCTTTCGCAGTAAACCAGAGCACGCGACGCAAATCATAGGACAATTGCCGCCAGATCGAGTCAAACCGCAACGGGCATTTTTCGTTTCCGGCGTCGATTTCGCCGGGCCTATCACCACCCTGGTGAGCAAGGGTCGAGGAAGGAAGACCAATAAGTCATACATCGCCTTGTTCATTTGTTTTTCAACAAAGGCTATTCGTCTTGAGGTTGTTAGCGATCCGTCAGCCGCGTCTTTCATCGCTGCAATGCGTCGGTTTGTTGGACGACGAGGCTGTCCTCAAAAATTGTTTTGCGATAACGCAACCAATTTCCATGGTGCCAAGACCGAATTGAGAAAGATTTACGAAGCACTCCAAGGAGAATATCGCGATTCAATAGTTGAATTTTGCAATTTAAGGCAGATCACGTGGAGCTTCATTCCATCGTCCTCCCCGCACATGGGAGGCCTGTGGGAAGCTGGTGTGCGATCATGTAAATTTCATTTGAAAAGAGTCATCGGACTCAACCTACTTACATTCTAGGAGCTCAATACAGCGTTGATCCAAGTCGAAGCGTGTTTAAACTCGCGACCGTTATACGGTTTACCAGCAACCCCACTAGATTTGCAACCATTAACGCCTGGGCATTTCTTGATAGGCGAGCCAATCAAGAAATACTACCCAATGTCGATGTGACAGATGTAGCTATGAACAGACTAAGCAGATGGCAACTTGTTCAACGCATCACGCAAGACTTCTGGAGACGATGGCAGCGTGAATATCTCACGTCACTGCAAGCAAGCACAAAATGGACTCGCAATTGGCCAACCCTGGCCATCGGAGATATTGTCATTGTATGCGAGTCCAACTCTCCTCCTCTACAATGGAGGTTGGGCAAGGTCGTGGATCTTCACTCTGGGAAGGACGATCGAATTCGTGTCGTGACTGTCAAAACCGCCTCTGGTACGATTAAACGACCCGTGGTAAAGCTTTGTAGACTTCCATCCTCCGATGCGAATCAAATTAATCAAATTAATCAAGATTAATTGGTGGGCGGCATGTTCACGCATATTATTAGTAGTGCGATCCTGCGGTCGATCCGATGCGCGCTAACTTACCGACTATCGAGCAGCGTAATTTCGAGGATACAGGATCGACGAGGGCGTCGTTGA